TGTGTGTGTGTGTGTGTGTGTGTGTGTGTGTGTGTGTGAGTCCTTACTGACTGTGAATGTACACAAACATACTCTGAGCTCAAACTGATCTGTGTTTACACCTTTGCCTTTAACTATTAGAATCATTTCTGTCAGCAAAATATTTCATCAACCACTGAACACATCTGAATCAAACTTGCACAAACATCTGCAACTGATTATTTTTGGAGTCAACCAATTCAAGATGGCCACTCTATCTAATTACCTTAGCACACACTAAAAGGGCCATGCCTCTGTGAGCTGATTGAACATGGAGCTAAAGTTTGGTGTAGTAGTAGCTGAAACTCATTCCCAACACATCCTTCTAGCACTAATGTGAAAAATTCTACAATATATTGCATTATCATAAAATATTACACAAAGTGTTATTTTTAAGTTTGATCAAAATYTTTATTTCTCTATGATGATTTRAGTTTGAAACTCTGGCGTGAAAAGCAGCAGGCGCGGGAATGCCAGGTTTGTAATTTCTCTCTGGGACTTCAAATACAACCCTGTGATTGAGACGGCTCATTGGACCATGGGTGGTTCTGAACAGGATGAATGGGCCTGCTTTGATCACCACCTGAAGAGTTAACTGTTATGAGAAACAGTAAGAACAGGTGAAAATAGCAGGAGGCCTCTTGTAGCTTCACCTCTGACCTCATTGGTTCTGTTACTCAGCAGGTGTCCCTTCATCCACTCAGAGCACTGAATCATAACATCTGAATCGATGGACTCAATTAGACCTCATAAATCATCGACTTCCAAAGACCACAACATGTCCACCCAACACACACAGACACACATGAAAAAAAGAAAAAMAAAATCACAACACAACACTCTCTGAGGGAAAATCTTTATAGAATTCCACGCCCAGCTTTCAAACTAATGAAACGATTAATTATGCTAAGTGCTAAAGCTGTAGCTGTTCAGGTCAAACACTGAATTGTGCACATCTACAACAACATAACAAGATGTCACACTCAAGAGTGTATGCTGTGAATGACTCTCAGCTACTACCACATCATGTTTTAACTCAGTATCTGTAAAACTGACCAAGTTACAGCTATGTTTGTGTTGGCTAATATCAGCTAGCTGTGATGGTCAACTTCAATCAGTTTAATCAGTTGTAGATACAAACACACGCTCACACACGTACATGGATAAGAAGCTGATCACCCAGTCTCCTCTTTCATAGTGGCTGATAACAGCTCGATGCAGTCTGATGTAAACAAGGCTGATCAGATGTTATTGATCAAAATGAGACAGGCAGCTGCTCCTCTCATCAGGATCAAACCTTCACATCACCAGCAGCAGGAGCCGGGCAGCAGAGCCCATCTCCTCCCAGGAGGGGCGTACACTCTAGCTCTGTGGCATCCTTAACATGTCCCCGCTGTCAAACAGCAGGAAGGCACTGCTGTGATGAAGCTGGGCGCAGATGTTTCTGCTTTGTGTGTCTCAAAGTGGACAAACTGGACTACACGTCTGTCCTGAGGAAGAAAGCTAATCTTTATGACCTGTAACTGTGTTTTCACAGTCAGTTCAGATCATTTTGAACATATCTGAATGATTATTTTATTAGTGTATAACTGTCTGTATGAACATAGTGGGAAAAAGGTAACAAAAGTTGAGTAATTCTGTGTCTTATCTTCATGTATTGTACAAATGACGTGTTTGTTTTGACAGTTTTTGACAGTTCTTTCCTCCATTCACTCTCAAATAAATGGTTGTATTTTTGAAAGAACTTATAAAATATATAAATGTATCTGATATAAGCATTATATAATAATAATCACTAGAAACATGGATACAATGTGAAGGTTAAAACCAAAATGGAATGAGCTCCCCCTGTAGGCTAGCTGCCATACAAGGTAAATAAATGAGAGAAAGTAACAATTCATCTCATATATTTTATCCAGGAGGTGATTTCTGTTAATCAACATAATTCTTACTTTGCCTTATAGTCAAATTTTCATTTATCTACATTTAGTTTCTGTTAGTGTTTTTAACTCCATGGATGTGGAGGAGTAGGCAGAACTCAGCTTTCAATGACAGGAGGAGGTGAAGACACTTCCTCCATCGTTTTTTGTTAATAAACAGGACTAAACTAAAAGTATCGGCTCTTCACCAGGTTTTAACCTCATTATTTATTAAATCAAGCTCAAATCATCACCCTTCCTCCACTGTGCTTGACTTATATGAAATGATTCTTTGGTATAAAATTTCCAAGTGTGGAAATGAAGCTGTGACGCCTGTCAACAATAAAAAGACCACCTTTATAGAAAATATAAGCAACATAATTATCATTCTGTCAAAAACACACCTGCCTTTTATCAAAGCTGTTATATTAAGTAACATCCTGCCTGCAGTGAGTGTTCCTGTTTTAGTGTCAGAGGAGCAGATTGAGAAGTTGACCTGAGCTCCTTAGAAAGGATTAAACACTTTCAGCACTCTTGGTTCCATCAATCTCCGACCCTGCAGTCAGTCTTCACCCTGCAGTCTGTGGAGTATTTCTAATGATGATACAGCACCAACCTTTCCCCTCAGCCCTGAGTGTGGCTCCATGCTTGTTTCTGCAGTCCAAATCCACATGAGACCATTTTTGATAACTCCAGCTAGTCATAAATAATTGCTCTTAAATCATCTGTCAATAAGCAGAGAGCTGTTGCATAAGTCCAATCAGTGTAAATTATTCAACGTGAGACCACTTTTATATTTATCAGCTGGGGCAAACCAGGTGACGTCAGACAGAGACTGAATACAGGTACAGCCACCCTGAGGGGGTGGGTCCTCACATGGCTGAGCACCTTATGTCATACCAGTCAGGCAAAGTTAATCACACCAAGTGGCCCTGCAAAACACACACACACACACACACACACACACACACACACAC